ATATATATATATATATGCTATATTTATACATTTTATTCATGTGTCAAGAGACAATCATGTTTTTAATAATATAAATGATTGTTAATAGTTGACTAATACAAAAGAAAGAAAAAAAGTATATATGAAATTTCATAATGAAAGTGATTTCCTACAACATAAACTGTATTTTAGTATGAAACAAACTTGAAATAAAAGTAAAGACGTGTCACTGTGGTTTAATATTTTCACATTTAATTAGGTAATCACCAGGAATTATGAAATACAAACCCACAACAAGGAAACTTGTTTGACCTTGAAAATAAACATAGTATCATTATCATTACCATTTTAACTCAGGTGTATGCCAACACCATTCACAAAGAAGTTAGGTGAGATAATAATAATAATAACTTAATTGAAACATATACTTTTATAACAGTGGCACACACTATCAAGTGGTGCATTCACAATAAAACATTAAAAGACCACAGTACATTCGTACATTAAGACACAGTATAGTTAAAAATCGTACAATACATAAAATATAGTAAAATGACAATTTTTTTAAGTTGAACATTAAAAAGAGCATTTATATTTTTTTTTTAATTACTTGTTATGCAGAGAAATGTTTAAAATATTCGTTAAAAAGGCCATTATGCATACAAGTAATGAAAGAGTAAGTACTATTTAAATTTTTAGGTTCTTTGAAACAATAAGGATTAAAACAAGTTAAATGTTTTGAATTAAGCAATATCATAAATAAATGTTAAAATAGATAAAATACAAAATATAAAATTGATTAGAATTATTTTATCTATTTACATTCATTATAATTTCACATCTCATTATAATTTCACGTCTGAGGTTTAGGGTGGGCTTATACACTCGAACAAAAAAAAAATCAGTAGTAATGGCTGTGCTCAAAATTAATACCTAAGCTTGTCTATTAAAATCATTTAGAGAAATATGTTAACTGATTTTGAATTCATTAAAACTAAAAAGCCTTTTTATAAAGTGAAAGGAAAGCTAAATGGTGATTGATTCAGTAGATAAAAGTGAAAAAAAAAAAAAAAAAAAAAAACTTGTCCTGATTGCTTAACAGGGCAATGAGTGAGTCCAGATGGTTGTCAAATCCTTGAATTAATAAGTTTAAAGGTATTCAAATCAACATGGTGTGATACTGCAGAAAGATTTGTAGATTTATGGTAAAAACACTGTAAAAGTGATCAGTTTTTAAAAAAATCAGTGACGTTATGCTTGGAGACTTTGTCCTGTGTAATATTATGCTGGGTGTGTTGAGCTAAGATTTTGCAATAATATTTAATATTTGAATTGCCATACTTTGAATATTGAAAGATCTTTCTTTATTGAGCAAATATATTTATTAAAATTTGTAGGTATCACAGGATGAAAGTGTTAGTCCCAATAAAAAATTAAAAAAAAGTTTATCACCCTTGTGCACACGTCTTCTATAGTACTGAAAATTTTTTTTTTTTTTTTTAGATAGGGTGATAAACTAATAATAATATTTATAGGGCCTTATAAGATGTTGAATTGACTCATTGAAATATTCTTAATTATTGGTAATTATTGATTATACTGGTTAGATGCAGTGGAATTAATTATGCAAATAAAAATTTAAAAGAAAACCAAGCATTTAAAGTATACAAAGTATAATTATGTCTTGGTAAAAACAAAAAAAAAACACTATTTTGTTTTTCATTCCCATCTACTCCCTTTTGGCTGCTGTCTATTTAAAAAAAAATAAATGTCTGCATCCTTTGTGGATCAGACTCGGTGTTACCATTACCTAACAACTTGATCTGTTAAAGCTGATCACAAAAAAAGGTCTCCTTTTACTGAACAAAAAAAAAACACTTCAAACTAGAAACTAATTTGTGTTGTACTCCTTCATACAGTGCACTTTATGGGTATGTAAAATGGATTATTAATAAAAAAACAATTTCAGAGCCTACAATGCGAAACTGAATGTCAAGGTCATGGGTCATGCTTATGATGGGATGTTTGTTACGATAATCAACATTAACCTTTGCATGATAACATGGAAAGTACTGTAGCAGAGACCATACTCCTACTTGAGAACATACATACTTTGTACTTTGGTAATTATAACATGTAATTTGTGGTGTATGGTATTTACAAGGGTCTAATAATAATACATTATTATGTGAATTATACAAGGTAAAGTAAACAATACTGCAACTCATTCAATGGGCCAGTAGTTTATTTTACCTGTATTTAAACTATAAAACTGAGGTAGCCTTAATTGGCTTTCTGCATGTAGTATAAATAATTATAATAATAATAAATAACATTTTTATAGCGGAAAAGTCAGTTAATGTAGTTTCAAAGCGCTTTGAATTCCCAGTTCTGTAAACAATCAAATGAAAAGATGCATTTTGAGTTTTGTTTTGAAAATGCAGACAGATTTTGATGCGCGGATTTCATATGGAAGATAAATAATAAAAATATACTTTATTTAAACACGGAGACATTTGAATCACCCATGGATGTTTTTCATCAAGGCCGTGCAAGGCCATACATAATTAGAAAAGAAAATATTATTGAAAACAAAATGAGTTAAAGAAAACATAATATCTTAACTACCAGTGAAACTATTCCCCGCCGAACACCGACCCGGTACTTCTAAGTTTTGGGATGACAATGGAAAAAAATCAAAAATTTTTATGAAGACTTTGCTTGAAAATATGGAGATTGGAAGAACATTTAAGTTCATTGGAAAGGTCATTCCAAAGCTGTTCCAGAATTATTGTATGGCTACAGTAAAAATTAAACATAGGACGATATTTAATTCTTAACTTTTTTGGTCCGTGATACAGTACTTTAATAAATCGGACACTCTTTATTAGGTACTTGAAATATTATAGTTAGTCCTAAGTAGACCTAATATTAAGAGCTAAAACTAAACCAGTGTACTTAAAAAAGCATAAAGTGTGTAAACGAACCATAGAATTAAGTATGAAAACATTGTACATTACAATTACTACAAAAGTTTATAAATATATTGTAAAGAATTATATAAGTAAAGAAAGAAAACTATGTGTGGTAGCAAAATCATATAACCATTGAACTGAAAAAAAATTTAAATCTCTAAAGGGCTTTGCAATGCGTCGAAATTTAAACATTATTACATTATTAAAATTAATGTAAATATCAATAATAATATGGTTAATATTACACTTTAAACAGGATTACTGACCTTGGGATAAATGGTGACCTGAAATTTGATTTTCCCTGAACTACAACTTGCAATCGATGGCAGGAAGTTATATTGTTTGTGGAGAGGAGGATTTTTTCCTGTTGCATAATAAATTTCTACATAACATGAACCAATATTATCAGAACCAAAGGCATCAGTACATTAATCCATTAACCGTTGAGGCTTGTTTGATGAGGTTCATGACTTTAACGTTGTTATTCTGAGAATTTTTACCTAAAAATCACTTGGAAAAATGTAATTATATAATGTAATATTTCATATTTGTAATCAATGTACTCATTTTATAATATACTGATTTTTTAATAACAACAATTTCAGCTGTATAGCTGCTTGTTTTAACTGTATTTTTATACCGGAATAAATAAATAAATAAATAAATTACATTTACAGTAATCATTGATATTTTATCTTTTTTTCCCAATGTTTACATTGCAGTTAAAAAATACAGAAATTGTCTACTGTATATTATTTTGTTTGTCCTACTTTAGCTTAAGCTAATTAATTGGGATAGCTTGGGCCTAACCAAGAGGCTAGATGGTTCGCGATATGGACTTTTTTAGGAGTAGGTTGGTGACCGGACAGGTATGTAGGCTGTACCTCAAATTTTGTGGTCAAAATTGGAGGCTGATTAATTATACGGACTGATTAACCAATTTAAGCAGGGTTATGCTAGTTTATGATTTTAGAATTCACCTCTAATAAATGCCCTCCTCTTTGAAATAATGCAATACCCCGTAGGTATTTATTAGGAACAATACGGTATAATAATAAATATAATAAATACAATACAGTGCCAATAATTCACAAAAATAATAATAATATAATAAAACTAACAAATGACAATGAAAGTAAAATGGAAAACTGTCAAAAAATGTTCAAAATATTGACAACCACTTTCGCTGTTATTGTGCATCATCTAAGGAGTTCAGTACCTGATATATTACTCTTATTGCATGGGTTACCTAAGGGCTTCCATACCTGATTTTTAACTCTCATTGCAGGAGTTACCTAAGGGCTTCCATACTGTACCTAATTGCTGATTTCACAGAGTTATGCAAGTTACTCTTACCAGCATGACATTAATAACAATAATATTTTGTGTCATACGATAGACTTAGTGTAATAACCACATGATCAGCTGACCATTTTATTGAGCCCTCTAATACATTTCACTTCAGCCTCAATATCATGTGTACTCTCCTAGGCATAGTTTATAGATGTACTGTTTGTTTGAAATGTATTTTTACATAAAGAGTGCATCAGGTCATACAGTATTCCAATTCCGGGATAGTTAGTAAACTATTTATCGTCACCCAGAGATAATGGATTTGTGGTGTTTTATATTATGTTTTTAATATTTTTATTTTCAGATATATTTTTACTGCTGTTTAGGATATATTGCTTCTATTTGATTTTGGACTTCTTAGTGGACTTAATAAAAGTTTAATTTTCCTTTATTACCACTGGGTATTATATGCTAGGCTCAGAAGGGTACGTCATTTTTATGCTGCCTTAGTCTTATTTTCAGTGTTGGAATGAAATTACTTTTATGAGCTTATCCATATTGTTAGGTCTCTTCAATATCTCCGTTTTAAACTTTTGCCGACATTCATCAAGATAGTAGCGCCAATGATTATTGAGTGGTGCCACTTGACTTGTGTGCTATAAATTGGAGAAACTGTGCTACACACAGAGATAAATATGTTTATGATGCTACTGTACGTCACTGTTTACTTTCATACTTTGATGACCATGATCTCAATAAAAACAATTGTATTTTACATTTATTATAAATGTAATAAAATGAAAATATAAATATTATTTCAACTAACATTTCCATTAAAAAGTTTGTTCTAGTATAAAAAAGATAACATATTTTACATTTAACAAACTGATTATGTGGTATGGTCAGTGCTCTGCAAACAGTCTTTATCTGAGGGTTCAAAAGTCATGACCTGATCATTTATGACCATTGATGCTCAACTACTGTATGTTTAATTCTGAGGCTAGGGGAGTACGGAGCTGTCATTCAGACCTTTGATCCTCTATGACCAAGCCTCTGAGGCTAGAGATTTGTGAGCTGACCGTTTAGGACCATTGATTATTCTTCAGGCCTGTAGACTCCTTCAAGTAGGTTTCCTATTACAGCCAACAGGCTAGGGTGAGACCTACAGTAGACACCCTGATGGGATGAAGTTATTGGGGATTGGGTATTTATTTGTTTTTATATTTATTTAGTTACACAACACATACACGAAGGATTGTCAATAGCGAATATTACTGTCCCATACACAAGACAAACATGATACACACACGATGATGTACAGAAGCTATTAATTTCAATATGAGGATTTGGGGAGTGGAGTTGTTCAACTCCATTCCTATTCTAATGTAGCATGATTTTCATCATCTTTTTGATAGTTTTGATACAAATAAATGGGTGGTTTTGTTTCTCACAGGGGGTTGGTTCACTTAAAAAAAAAACAAGGGGGGTTTGGCTGAATCACAGAAACCCATCTTTGTTGTCAGCCTGCTTTTGACCAAATCTTGTTATGAGGCTTGGTTAAGTGGAGGATTTAAACTTCAGGATTGGAAGGTGAGCATCTTGTCCAAGCCATAGCACCACTTTATTCCGTGGTATCTACCTATATCACTAACATCAGGATAAGATTCTCATTGTTACTTCCATCAAGTTCCTATTGACCTGGTAAGGGTGTAATAATCAAACACTACTAAAGCATTAACCCAACAAATGTGTGTGTTCTACTGCCAGTAATTGGATAAGTGGACTTTTGTACCTATATACAGTCTGTCCAGATAAAAACATTTTGCGATTGCATATCTAAAACTTAAGATACTATTTCTGTAGACATGGGAAATCATGTACAACATCCACATTATGATTTGCAGTGAAGAAGATTTTAGTTTGATTCATCTTTGCGTTATTCATACATTGAATGTACACCTGTTGAATCATGGAGGTATAAAATATCTCCATGGTTGAGTTAACAGGAGCTGTTATCAGCCAGTGTCGTATTCAACACAATAGTGACATAAAACGATTTGTATGTTTATTTACAGGTAGCGAATCATGTAAAATGCAAGACCTTGATTACGCATTGGATAACCGTAAGTTTGATTTGATACATTCTATATTCTTCAAAAACAAACGCAAATACGGTGCATCCTCTAAAACGAGACCCCTCTAATTGCAAGACCAAGAAATTGGCGTCCACTTTTTCAGGGAACCAAGTAACAATCTTCTATCTATTAGCAATAAGCTAACCCTTTATGTAGAGACTAAACCCCCAAGACCACCCCAGATTTTCAGTTCCCAAAGGAGGTCTTGAATGGAGAGGAAACTGTAAACATAAACGGATCAGATTAGATAAAAGAAGAGTTGCATAATGGTAGAACTTGCTCCACTTATATAGTCTGATTCTTATATAATATATTTTTATTTATCATGTTTGCATATTTTTCTTCTTTTTCATAGCCTCTTTATTCAATGACAATATGCATGATTTTGAGATGGGGACAAGTGCAGATAATTTGTCATACACAGAATCTACGTACCAGTGTATCAAGTGGCAGTCATATCAACCCTCTAAGTGGCATACGCTATGCGACGCCAATGGACAGAATGTGTATGTCGCACTTTATATATTATCCAATAGATCTAATGGATCTAACAGTAATAGTGTTCCTTTTTTTCTGTGCCTACTCCCTTAAATTTATATTATTTTATTTGAGAAATTTGGTGTTAACTGAAATTTGATGAGTTTTCTAGGTTTGACCACATGCCTTTTATCTATTAGGAAACCTTAATATTGCGTAGAATGTTGAACCAAAAAACTGAAGACATATATCTGACATTTGAAACCATAAAAGGTTAAAACAAGTCAAAAACATGTTTATCCAAAATAGAGTTAATTAGAATTTATTTGATCGTTTTAGGCTGCCGCCAGATTTTAGAGTCGAAGCTGACAAAGGTTTTAATTTCTCCGTTCCCGACGATTCGTTTGTTTGTCAGAAGAAAAATCACTTTCAAGTTACCGTCCACATTGGATTATTGGGGGCGCCCAAGTTTGTACGTACTACTAATGGGTTAAAACGCATTGACAGTTATTATATTCATTTGAACGGTGTAAAACTGGAGTCGATGGACTCGTATATACGCGTTGAACAATCGCAAGCTAACCGAAGTAAGAGGCCCTTTAATCCTGTCAAGTAAGTGTTGTTTAGAATGTATTTACTTGTTTACATATGTCATCATCATCATCATCATTATCATCATCATTATCATTATCATTATGTTCAATCTCAACACCACCATTATTGATCATCATAATAACATAATATCATCATCATATCAGCATCATCATCTGTATCTTTATCATCATAAGCATAACAATTAATAATTAGCATTATAATGGTCATCATCATTATTAGCATAATAATCTTTATCATCATTTAGCATAATACTAATCATCATTGTCATTATACTCATCATAATCATTAGCATGATAATCTTCATGATCATCATAAGGATCATCATCTTCATCGTCACTAAATCAGCATCATCTTCATTTATATCAATCATTGCTCATCAGCATTATATTCATTATTATTATTATTATTATTATTGTTATTGTTATTATTATCATCATCATCCTATAGTCACCAAAACCAGCATCATCACTTCCAATTTCTGTATAAAATTTACATGTTTTACTTGTTTTTGAAGGATTGACATTCCCGTAGATCAAGTTACTAAAGCAACTGTAGGTCGGTTACACTTTAGCGAAACAACTTCAAATAACATGCGCAAGAAAGGCAAGCCTAACCCTGATCAACGGTACTTCTTGTTGGTTGTGGGCATTCATGCTTACTGTGGATCAGAGACGTTCATGGTTGTAGCTCATGCTTCAGAGAAGATCATCGTTAGGGTAATTATTGATGAATTAGTGAATTAGGAAGATGTGTTGGGGTGGGGGGTGTTGATTTAATTATTGATGAGCTAGTGAATTAAGAAGACGTGGGGGGTGGGTGATTGATTTAAGAATATTTACAACCGACATAGCTAAATGTTCATGTCTTAGCTGTGCATAAAGACTATTCTAATAGCCAATTGTAGTGGCACTTTATCTTGGTGGTTAGATATATTACCTTCTAATCACCTACTGGAGGGCAAAAGGGTCCTAAATTTCAAATTTTAGCTTTACTATTTTGGAATTAATAAGATGACATTCCTATCGTCCCCATTTTGGATCTTCACTGGACAGAATTCTATGTTCACATGTATTTTTCTTTATTTTGGAGAGTGTACAATTTTTCCCTTAAACAATTTATATTAAATTTTAATTCTTTACCTTTTTATAACTAGGCATCTAACCCCGGACAGTTTGAAAACGACGTAGATGTTCCCTGGCAGAAAGGTCATACACCGGACTCTGTTTTCCATGCGGTAAATAATTTATTTGTTGTACATTCACAAATTTTTATTTCTCTTCCATTTTTAATATACATAATAACTTTGCAAAATTGAAATGTAAAACAAAATATTGTTGATCAAATAACATATTGCTTACTCCATAATTCTAAAGAGATTAAAAGAATTAAAAAAAAAATAGAATAAAGTCATGTTTTTTTCATCTACAGGGAAGAGTTGGTATAAATACTGATCGACCAAATGAGGCACTTGTTGTACACGGAAACCTTAAACTAACTGGCCAGATAATGCAACCCTCAGATAAGAGGGTCAAAGAAAACTTAAAAGAGGTAATTTAGTCTAACATATATATTAGCACTAATAATGTTAGTAAAAGCATTTAAATTGCACCATATGTCCAAGGAAATGAAAATGCATAAAAATACACATCATATTTTCCCACCTAGCAACAGCAAGTTCTCACTTTCCAACTACATAAGTATTTCCCTGTTTGGACTCTGCAGATATTTTTCTCCTGATTGAAGCAACTCAATCAAAATGTCAAGACATTCTCAACAAAATAACAGTTCTTTTCAGAACTGTCTATGTGGTGTACCTTACCTTACCTTACCTATCGTCTTCAGGCCGAATGGCCCATAAGGCTGAAGTACACTCTTTCCAACCCGCCCTGTCATTTGCAACATGTCTGGCTTCATTCCATGATTTCCATCCAAGACACTCTCTTTCCTTTTCAACAGTCCTCCGCCACGTTGTTTTAGGGCGACCAACTCTTCTTTTCCCTTCAGGTTTCCAAGTTAATTAACTTAACTTGGAATGTGGTGTACCAGAAGCATTTAATGTATTACACATCTTAAAATATTACACGTTTATAAAATTTTTGAAATACATTAATCATCAATATACATACACATTCGACAGTTGCTATTCACTTCATACCAGGTATGCATTTGTTCACCGAAGTGGGAAGAGGCAAATATTTTAGTGTTAATTTTAGTGCTTTTTTTTTTACCATAATCTTACTGGTAAGAGCTGTGTACCATTATAAACCCCAAGCAACTAAACAATGGTCTAGTGTTGCTCAAAAATGCTGTTGCTTCAATGTCCAAGGATTTGATACCTATCTTTCGTCTTCAAGGTTGATCCGAAACACCTGAAAAAGAACATTGAAAAAATGAAGATATACCAGTACAAATATAAAGATAAATTTGCTGAGGCGATGGGCCTACCGGAAGGCGAAAGGTGTGACACAGGTGTAATGGCACAGGAAGTTCAATCGGTAATGCCAGATGCGGTCAAGGAAACGGGCAATGTGACCCTTGCCGATGGACATGTTGTAGATAACTTTTTGGTAGTGAATAAAGACCACATTTTCATGGAAAATGTTGGCGCTGTGAAAGAACTATGTAGACTGACGGATAATCTTGAAACACGAATAGATGAACTGGAACGAATGAATCGTAAATTAGCCAAGTTGAAACGGCTTGACAGCATGAATTCCACCTCTAGTATAGGCACAATAAGGTATAGTATTGTTAGTATGGCTGCAACATGTTAAAAAACGTTTTGAAATTGGGGACGCAGATACTGTGAGCCAATTGTTTACATGCAAGTTTATATATACAGTAGAATCCTATTAAGGGGACACATTCGGGACCCAAAAAGTGTCCCCTTAGTAGGGTGTCCCTTGAATATGCATTGGCCATAGTGTTGGCCATAGGGTGTCCCAAATGATGGTTTCTACTGTATTATAAAATTATATCTTTATTTCCCATTCAGTCGCACTGCAAGCAATGTTTCCAAAATAAGCACACAACAAAGTTCACATCACAAGCATCGAGACAGGAGGAGGATGCGGACAAAGCACTCAACCCCACCCCCAGACGACACATGTTTATCTCCCAGATTCATGCAGTGGACAATAGTTGCCTTGGTTGTCATTATGCTTTTCTGGTAGGTCACCAACTGTTAAGATCACTTTCACAAAAATTCTAAAAAGTGTAATAAAAAAAAGTTATTTTCACTTACTCTATGAAAATGACATGACCTTTGACATTGTGGTATGTGCATTCATCATCTTCCTTTTTCAAGGAAAGGAATGCAAGATCATCCTGATGGATATATTAATTATAATTATTTAGGAATAATATAATTACCAATTGTACATATGGACAATGTACAAGAGAATTTGTTGGTGACGTCAAGAACAGAGGTAAAGAACAAATGATATGCTGAGTAAAAGTAATGAAACCATTGTAGTTGATTGTTTTCATATTTTTTACAATGTAAAATTTTAATGGAAATACTAATTTGTATATTTCAGTGTTGTTTGTATGGTGACACTATATGTGATGCAGGATCAGGATAAGTGAGTTTACTATGTTTTGTACTTTCGATGCTCTGCTGCAGTTGCTGCTGCTATTGCTGCTACAGTTGCTGATGTTACTACTGCTGCTGCTGATACCAATACTATTGCTGCTACTACTACTGCTACTATAATGCTTTTACTACTGCTGCTGCTGATACCAATACTATTGCTGCTACTACTATTGCTACTATAATGTTTTTACTACTGCTGCTGCTGATACCAATACTATTGCTGCTACTACTATTGCTACTATAATGCTTTTACTACTGCTGCTGCTGATACCAATACTATTGCTGCTACTACTATTGCTACTATAATGCTTTTACTACTGCTGCTGCTGACCGCAAATACTGATGGTCTTGCTGCTGCTGTTAATACTACTGCTGCTGATACCGATACTATTGCTACTACTGCTAATATTGCTACTGCTACTATTACTACTACTATACTGCTCCTACTGCTGCTGCTACAAATACTGATGTTCTTGCTACCGCAAATACTACTTCTGCTGTTACAACTGATATAGCACATGTTGCTATGGCTGCACTGCTGTTACTGCTACACTTACTGCTGCTCTGCTACTTCTGCAAGTGTTGCTGTTACTACTACTGCCACTTCTACAACTATTACACATGTTCCTGCTACCACTTCTACTACTAGTACTTTTGCTACTGATACTATATCTGCTACTATTGTTACTGCTATTCCTACCACAATGAGTAAAGGATGTGTTCTAAATATTGTACATTGCATTTTTTGTAGTGCTAATCTGAAATCTGAAAAACCGAACACACCAGTAGAAATGTCAAATTTCACAACAGCGATAACTACAACAAGCATTGCCAGTCCTACCATACCGTTCCGCACAGAACATGCCGCAAGTAAGTAGTTGTTTATCAAACCAGGGGGAAAAGAGTGCATCTAGTTTAATTGATTGTATAATTTTTATATACTGTGTGTTAATTACAAAATGTGAATTTAAGTTAATTAATCATAATTGTCTACATTTATCTCATTTTCAACAGCTCCTCAAAATTTGATGACATTTACCAGCCCTGTGGACACTAGGCCGAAGGTGACGCCACCGCCTATTTATTGTTGCAACAGAGCCCCGAACAAGATGTCAACAGTTCCGCAGATGGTTGCCATGAGCGAGAGCAACCCAGCTTCTTGTAAGTCATGTGATAATAGTAATTGTATGCGCAAAAGTGGCTTGCGACAGCGGCAGTAAAAATAGAACCAAACTAAACATGACGTAACTACGTGACAGAGCGACATGTCTCAGCATTGAATCATTGTAAATTATTCTGACCAATCTGTGATCACAGAACTAACTGTGCATTGATTATACTATGTGACAATGTTGTTGCTGTCTTGTGTCTCTGTTGTGTGCAAATGTGTAAATTGGTTTTTAATTCAAGAGTTATCCAATTACAAAAGAAAACCTTACCAGCTTGCAGAGGACATGATATTCTATATCAGTTTATAAACAGCATGATGTTAGTCGGTAGTAAACCATCTTTAGAAACAGCTTGATGCTACTCTGTAGTAAATTCTAACACTTTAGCAACAGCTCGATGCTACTCAGTTGTAAACCCTAACACTTTAGAAACAGCTTGATGCTACACTTTAGTAAGTCTTAACACTTTATAAACTGCATGATGTTACTCTGTAGTAAACCCTAACACTTCAGAAACAGCATGATGCTACATAGGTGGGTTCCTCAGAATGGCATCCTGATTGCCAAATTTGGCCTGCAAGTGATTTCAATATATCCTGTCAATTATTTTTAGCAACAAGCAAAATGGCCTGGCACAGCAGTAATATGCTGAGCATGATATGAATTTATTTTGGCTTGAATAGTTTTAACATATATAGTTTACAGTCATTAAACACCACTTTTAACAAATTGTATGTATGTAATATTTAATTAAATATATGTTATTTAATATTAGCTTTCAATGGAAACAATAAAATAATATCAAAATTAAACCTATAAAATAATAACTGCCGTTTACTTTGATTGAATCACAAAATTACACCTATAAAATAATAACTGTTGTGTACTTCGATTGAATCATAAAATTGATCGACATTCAGTACGAGTAACAGGATATTTAGTACTCAGATTAAGTATGGAGTAAAGCCATGGAAAAGTTGGGAAGTGCTGGCACGTTAAACAGAGATGGATCATATCCCAGTGCTAAGAAGCCAATGAATGATTGTGTCTGTTATGATTAGGATCATTATTAATTACAAAAACTCTTGCTGGTGTTTTGACCAATAGCAGCTATGCATTGCTATCACCATCTGTTTAAATTTGGATGATTATGTAGTTATTATGATGTTGATGATATTTATATAAATAAATAATTGTTAAATTGAAAGAAACCTTAAAATGTTCAGTACATATTTTGAATTACCCTTAAAAGTATCAAATAAGTTTAACAAGTTAAATAAGTCAAATAAGTTTAAATATTTTAATGTCTAATGACACACAGCTCATAACAATTAAGTGTTTGCTAAATTATAGATAATTAAAAATTCTTTAATTCAATTACCAGCCAAATTAAATATATAATATATAAGAATATTGGTATTTGTTTTATCTATACATCTGTTGGTGAAGAATATATTTTCTTGTAATAATGTTCAATAGTTAATATACAAAGTGAACAATTTAAGTATTAATTTTATTGTTCAAGTTTGCTATCAATCAGTACTGATATAAAATAACAAAATGCGTGAGAAATATTACTGCTACTAATAATAATATAGATTTATAATGCATTCATCCTCACACATATGGTGCTTCCTCACCCATTGGTGCTAAGGCAGGAAAAAATAATGATGAAAAATAACTAATTGAAAGAAAGAAAAAGTTTAAATGTAATGGCATGTTATTTTGAAAGCTCAAAAATATTTGTAATTCCTTGGCACTGATTGTGATGCTTACCTTTTGGCCTGATAACTTGGAAAACATTGATAAGGAACTAAAAGCAAGCATGTGCTTTGGCATGCGACATCATTTCATCTCCTCAAAAATCCATCATGCTTTGAAAAAGTCAGCATGGCCAATTTTCCTTGTAGATCTCAACCCAGAGACTTCTACATCCAGTCGGTTGATCAGTGTACACTTTGCTTCGACAGTTGAAGGAGTTCCTCCGTACACCATGTCGCAATCTGCCACGGAGGAAGATGGAAGCATTAGGCAAATGAGAAGACGCAGACGCCGGATGATCCGGTCCACAAGCATGGCTGCCACAAATATTGTTGGTGGTCAGTTTATTTTCATTTTTTATTTTAAAATACAGTAGTGATGGTGTGTAGCGGTTGTGATTTGGTCTCCAAGAATTATGGGTTCTAGTCCAAAGCTACCCATTTCATAAGTGATGAGTGATTATAAAGCACCATTAACATTTTGCACTTCCTGAGCTTTAAAATTAAATTTGGTTTGGGGGGGGGGGGGTGGGGAGCGTGTGAGTGAGAAAAAAACAACAAATGTTATAATCTGTTTTAAATTATGTACATAATATACTTAGCATTATAATATACTTACCAAACATTAGTATTTATGATAAGGATACTTATTAAATATGAAAGTTCAAAGTTCACAAACATGAATATGTATTATTATATGAATATTAATTTTTTTTTCTTTAGGTCTTGTTTCCAGTATTTATTTTGACGAACTGAATTTAACAAAGCATAAAAATCAAACGTAAGTTGTAGTTTTAAAAAATTATTTGAATTCATGTGTCAATTAAAAATACAGGTCTCCCATCCATTTAAAGACCACTTATGAAACTGCGCTTTTTATAGACTTTAGCAGCTTTGGTCTCTCATTAGATAATAAAGATGAAAGACATTTGTGAATATGGGACCACAGCAAAGTGGGCTTTTAATTAGAGGTGGTCTTTAATTGGAGGGGTCTTTAATTAGAGGGAGACCTGCACTTAACTAATAGGGGATTCCTAGATGCAAGTGTTTTCGCTGAAATAATATTTGTTGCAAATACAAGCCAAACCAGTCAATCGTCGCAAATACTGTTTTGGATATAATGGCCAAAGCATGCTGGAATGACAACATTTTGGAAATTTATTTTATTGCACTATATATCTATACATCAAGCTATGCTGTTATTTTCCCCATTTTCAATGTTAAAATAAACATGTTTAACAATTTGGTGATGTTTTCTGCCTAAGAAATGCCCGAAATTGTAAACTTTGAAGACTGATTTCTAAAATATTGTTCTTTAAACAGCTGTATGTTAAATTCCTTTAACTTCACAACAAAATGTCAGATTTGAATGATTCTTTTACCATTTTATAGCTCTCATTTTACCATTTAATCCTGTATTAATAAATAAAAGTCAATTTTTGCGATGAGTGACTGGTTTGGCTTGTCTTTGCCACATTTCATAAATGAATAAAGATGACAATAATACTCGCACTAAATGTATGGCACCCTATTCATATGACCCATGCTGTAAATTGATTGATTATTATTTTTATAATTAATTCCTATTACTAAAGGTAAAATTAAGTATACTACATTCATATTTTATCTACATTCATATTTTATTATAGTTGTATTTTCCTTAATTGAAGATACAAATGATTTTTGCTGCGAAGCAGCCAATTCATATTCTTGACAGCAATTTGACCTCTGAAAGGTCATTGTTTGTCAAAAAAAAAAGGCCTAAGACGACTGAAAAGCGGAGTTTCCTTCTTTCGTTCTGCCGGGTAAAATCAATTACTTTAGGCGACGTTTGTAGACTAACCTACACGTACCAACGTCCGCATGTCGCGACGCTCGAGTATTACTATTCAGCGTTTTTACTATATTTCTAGGTTTCTTATTTCTACGTTTAATCGGCCCATGTCTCAGCCACAATATTTTGAGGCCAATATTTTTATGAACCCAGTTAAACTTATTTACTAGCCTATTTCAGCGTGCTAATTATTTATAAATAATTTTGTTCGAAGAACATTTATATGCAGTTGTACTTCGCAGCACTTCACTTGCAATTTGCAATTTCTTGTTATGATTACTAATGGTTAACATTTGTTTCTTGTAGTGAGCCAGGAAACTTCTCTTGTAATACAGATGTTCCTGAACAGTTCCCCCTAACAAGTGGTATCTTGGAGATAAAGTAAGATACTTTAATTGATCATGATCTATCAGTTACTCAATCAATTAACCAATCAGTTTACCAGAACAGTTCCAAACACTCAATCATTATGTCAATCAAACAATTAGTCATTCAATCAGCTCATTAATCACTAGTCGGTTAATTAATCATTAATAATAGACCATTTAGTTTAATCAATCGTTTTTCCTTGTTTAGGCGAGTTTTTTTTTGTACCTTATTTAGCGAACCCGCCGACTGCAAATATTGATGATTTCAAATAAAAATAATTTTTTTTTTTTGGCCAATTAGCGCACCCACTGACAAGTAAAAGTGGAAATTTCAGAAAAAAATTAATTTTTCCTTTAATCTCCAAAGATAAGATATGTATATATTGCTTCCTAATTATATCAATTTGAAGCATTTAACCATCCTATTTTACATTCACCAATAAAATTTTATTTTTATTTTCCCCTCTGTCTGGATGATTTTGGCAAATCTATTTGCTAAATAAGAAAACCAAATTTTATTTTTATTTTTATTCCACCCTCCTCCTATAATCTTTAAAAAAATAAGTATGCGAAACAAGCATTAAAAAAAGTCTTGCCGTATGTAAAGCGCATTGAGATATTTGTGTATATGCGCTATATAAGCAGACTTACTTATCGTTTTTTGTTTTTGGTAATTTAATTGATTTTATTTTTGTATTTACAGTACTACTACAGACTGCCAGGTATTTTACTGTCCGAAATTCACAATGGAAGGTTTCCCTTGCAATAGTACTCACAATCCAGAACCACAGTTTGAAAAATCAACCCATTATAAGGTATATACAATTATCTATATAATAATTATTATGATGAAAGTTGAATAAAAGAGAAAAATTAATACATACTGTATTTATCAGCGAGACAAAAGCTGATCAGTGTAGTTAAGCCAGAAAAAGGAAAGAATGTTTATGAGGGATATGCTGTACTTACATCAGTTTTTGTTTGTCAGACGTAACAGTGACAGTTAACTGATGCTGTGCTCGTTTTAGATATATCTGATAAGACAAATCCTGTTTATTTCTATACCTTTGTGAAGCGATAGACAAAATTAGATATTATGCCAAACTTTACATGTCATCTAATTAAGCTGCATTCATTGGATCCAAACTGAAATTCGGACCGTGCTTCTGATGTGCTGAATTCTAGGGTCCCTACATATTGATTCAATTTTCTGATCGGTGTAGTAGGCCTTCCGGTCCAAAAATTTGGATTCAGTGTGAATGCATCTTAATGCTAGAACAGTACTTTAAAAGGACTAATAATTAAATGATAGCCTTAAATTCAACACTCATAACTAAAAATGAAGACGAAGAGAGATAATTGTTTTATTGTGTTATGACTATATATTGATTGACGCAAAGTGCCTTTTATAATGAGGCAAATGTTTTTGTTTTTTTAAAGTTAGTTTGTTCTGTAGATATTTTTTGTGTAAAAGTAGATATTTTATTTTCACTTTTGCAGAATTTTTCATGGCAGTTGCCTGTTGGATTTTATGCAAGTGTTTCATACAGATTCAGAATTACATCAAATATGACTGTAAGTGTATATGTGTATTTAAATTACCTAATTTACATAATTAAAATACATTACTAATATTAATAAATGGAGGAGGAAAGTTGGGAAAGAGTCAATTTTACAACAGTTATGAGTTAGTCATAGTTCTGTTCAGCAGAAAATTAATATTTTTTTTATAGCAGTGTTTAGGAGTCGTTCACAATTATCAACATTTTCACAAGGGTACAAACAGTACCCTAGGGGGGAAGGGGTAGACAAATTTGTACACTTTTACATATGCATAAAAATGTAGATTCAAAATAAAATGCATTATTTAAAATAATAGATTTTTGTGACCAATTATAATGCAAACATGAATATAATATACATTTTTAAATAACCAATTACAGTACTTTAGTTGACTTCACAAAAAAATGGAGAATGATCTTGCAAAATCAACACTTTGTATGTAAATTTTTAGAGGGGAGGGAGGAGGTACCGAAAAAAAATACTGTTTGTACACTGGTGAAATGTTGATAATTGTGAACGACCCCTTGTAACTCAGCAAGAATTGACAATAATAATAATTATAAGATTTCGGTAGAGCATGTGGCATGCTACAAATCTCAATTGGTGCTACTTGATTTTGAGAAGAACCGTTTAAATTGTAATGCCCGAAATTTTCGCTTAGTGTCTCTTCAGAAAAACATTGAGGCTTGCCATCCAAAAACCAGTGTACTCTCACTAAATATTAAACTGAGTAATTAACATAAAAATGTGGCTGTGTTTTATACTTTAGTACAGAGAAGCTGTAATACTTTAACTCATAACTTGGGCAATAGTAAAGTCAGTTTCAAAAATGACCCATCATTTTAAAGGTTATAATGTAGAAAATGTGAATATGTTAAAAAGTCAATTTTTTTTTTTTTAGACACTGATATTGTTTTTGGTATGGCAAGCCCCATATACATTTTAAAGGTTATAATGTAGAAAATGTGAATATGTTAAAAAGTCAATTTTTTTTTTTTAGACACTGATATTGTTTTTGGTATGGCAAGCCCCATATACATTCCAAACGGTTCTTCTCAATTAAGATTTGTAGCATATACCACTTGCTGTACCGAAAGCTTATAATTAATTATTAAAAAATTAAATTTATTGTTTTTGAATGAGTAAGTTTCTGTTTTTATTTTAATGGATGTGGGTTTTTTTTTCCAGATATAGTATAAATCCTAAAAATATCTTGTTAACATGTTTGTTCTTTGACCACTTTTTACCTAGGCTACTGAGAATGATACATGCGCTCTTTCTTCAAAAATCGTATTTGAGGAGTATAATCTCCACTTCAAACGGATCTTCCAGAAGTGCTCTTCAAATCAGTGAATGCATGTTACAGAGTTAATGCCCTAATTAACGTAATCGCAAAAAACCACCTGCATAAGAAGCTGACACAAATAGCAAGTGCGTTTGAGCGTTGAACAGCTAGTGTATCAGCCACAGAAGCTCTAGCTAGGACATTGTGGAGGTTTATGTCAAGTGATGATCAAGTTACAATTGCACTGGTTTTTAAAATGTGTATTATAACCAAGTTGTCTGTACCCAAAAGCATTGTAGTTGTCTTATGTTCTTTAGATTTATGTTATATTGTTGATACTGAATTATTATTTGATTATATATTTTATATTTGAATTGTAAAAATCTTATTTTAATCTTATCTTAATTTTAACGTTTGACGTTTATTTTTACATTCAGTTCCAAAATCATATTTGAACAGTGTAAGTAAATGTGTGAAGTTGTAAAAACATATCAATTATCTTTTTCAAGAGTTTTAATGTAGTGGTGTGACTCCAAAAGTTTGCAGACAGTGGTCTGAGGACCTCAATCTTGGGGGCCGCCTAGAAACTCGGTCAGGGTCTTGGAACAATGTTTTTTGTGAGTTGCATGGTAAAGATTTTATGGTTTAGAATGGCCAAAAATTGTGATTTAGACCACAATATTATGCGTTGTCAATCACTATAACTGTGTTTGGATTGGCAGTTTAATAATTTAGTCCGAAGACCTTTTCAAGGTGTCGGACAACAGGTTTAATACTTGTTTTTAGGAGGACGAATTTCTCGCTCCCCTGCTGCCACTCCCACTATGTTTTTTAATCATGGGATAGTGTGATTTATATTATGTTAAATATTTTATCATTAATAAAATGGATAATAATTTTCCTTAAGTTATGTATCAAGTTCAAAAGTAATAGAATCATGTACATAACACAATAATGTGATGCAATTTACAGTGGAGACATTAATCTTGACTAATTTGATTTTACTGTTTGACATTGCATGATATAAGTACTTATCTGTGTTGTTTGTATTGTTTGTCATATCCTTTGTATAGAGAATGTAAATAATCCAGAAAATTTAAAACAAAGGAAGATTAATTAAACTATAGTTAATCAAGGGAAGTGAATATGTAAATAAGTGTGACTCCTGGAGGTCAATAGTTTCTTATTATTTTGAAACTTTTATGGAAAAATAAAAAGACAAAAAAATGATAAGTTGAATATGTAAATAACATTTATGTGGAATGGAATTGAATTGTCCTTAAAGGTAATTCATTGTGTGTTGTGGGTGTTTGTGTGAAGGGAGGGGGTTAGGGAGTGGTGTATATGTGTGGGTGTGTGTGTGTGTGTGTATGCAAGATTGGATTAAATGTGAACTATTTGATAGTGCTTATTTGTATCTTTTTTCTACAATCTAGAGGGCCTTATTTCCAGGGGACCAACATACTCTTTTAAGTAAGACCCCAGCAAATCTATGCATAAATAATTCATCAGAATTGTACTTATTTTTATACATGTGAGAATTCTGTAGCAATAAAATACAGCAGTTGGGTGTCACCAATTGATGTACTTAAATAATTTTAAATGAATGTATGGGGGCACTGTTGCCATGCTTTTAGAGGACTCAAGTTTTCGACAAATATAAATAATAAGAATAATGTATGTCAGTAAATATAATTATAATAATTTAAGTATTCATTTAGATATGAATGTTACTAAATAATCTTGACAGAGCATTAGATAGTTGTATCAGTCATAAACAGATTGCATTTGACTTGGATAAGTATTCAAATTCATTACAGAAAATGTTCAGTAGAAAATCTTAAGGTATGTTTAATTGGTACGGCATTACAAACTTTACTCCCCTAAATACAAATTCGATTTGTGAGGTCACAACCTTTGAAGCATCACCTTGTTTAATTGTGTGTCAACAAATCCATTTTTAATTACTGTATTCTTTATAAGCATAATAGATATATGTGCATATGTACTATATATTTATATATGTTTTAAGTCTTATAAATAGTTCATGAATTACACATTCATGTTAAATAGACATTCTGTAATGCATTTCTCAATAAAGTTATATTTCTATTTACAGTGTGAGCTACAACCATCCAAAAATGTTGTTTCTTTGATATTTCAGTGACCTAGAATTATTTGCTGTTGTGGAAATGGGCATGGCCTATATTTAATGGGTGTTGCTGTTATGGGGCGTGTAGTCTATTTTTGAGGGAATTTTTTTGACTTCAGATGTTTGTAAGCTTTTGATTCGATACTATGGCAGCAGCACTGGAAATTGTAAGCATACATGAGTAGGCCAGTTTACCTATTACAGACAAAAATATTATAAATAGATATTAGCTTGAGCTTGATTGTAAGGATACAGATTGAAAATTATATTTTTGATAAATTAGATGGAGGCTGGTTTTGGAAAGTCACTCTAAAATAGTTGTTGGAAACAATTGAGAGTGAATATTTTTTTTAAACACTTTGAATATAGATTATTTTTGATGATCGAAGGGACGTGTGTATAATATACAAGCATACCATGTGAACTTTAGACTTTTTCCATGGAAAATACCACAATGTTTTCGAAATACATGGAGATTTCCTCAAATACAAAAAAAAAAATTCCCATTTTTAAATTTCTTGAAATATTGGTGAATATATTTACTTGTATTTCAATTGTACAGTTGTCACTTTGAAAGGCTGATTTTGGGTTTTTTTTCTCTATTTTTAGTTAAAATATTATTAAAATTCACTATTTTGTATAACCTGACTTTACTGAAAATTGAGAATGACTTGTGTATAGAAAAAAAACCTGTGAAGATAGAGAGGACATTCTGTTCAATTTTGACATAAGGTTTAATAAAGGCTTGACTCAAAGATCATTTATAACAAGTAATAATTTTGTCAACTTTTTGCTTTTGTTGATTTGTTGTTACTGGACATGAGCAAGGCATTGGATACAATAAGATCTTTCGAGTATACAAGAAGAGGACGAAATGCATATGATACCAATATTACTAAAACAGTGGCGGATTCCCCTCCCCCTTAAAAGAAAAAAAAAATGTAAAATTCAGAAAAATTGAAAATTATAATAAATTCAGGTCTGAACGTGGCATTTCCACCCATCTAGTGGGTGTGATAATCATAAGTTCTTACCTCCGCCCCAACCAATGCTGCTGAGGTGGTCTAGACTCCCTATCTGTGAAACTCCCTTCCTGGGCCCCCTCTATTTCGAATTCCTGGATTCGCCACTGTAAAAGATTAGAAATAACAGTGAGAAACAGAAGCACAACAGGGGACACATTCATTATCAACATAGGCTTAACCCAAGGCGATTGTCTGAACCCGGTTTTGTTCACCCAAAGCACATTTTTTCATTATTGACCAGCAATATGCAGACGATGTAGGATGGATAGCCACTTTTCTTTTACAGCAGGCAAGTTAAAACCAATACCAGAACAACTAAAAAAAGTAGATGAAAATAAAACAGAAGAATCCACAATTAAGAGAGATGGAAATGAGGACTTGAAGAAATTTAAAGCTTGGATCACTTACTTGAAACAAATGCAGACATGCTGTACTGGAGGATACACCTAGCTATAGCAGTATTTTATCAATATAAAAAGAAACTTGAAAGCAACAAGATAAATCGCAATACTTTTATCAGATTATGCATTCTCAACACACACTAACAGCGAGTACCAACCTGCCACTTAAGGAT